TTAACCCAGTGTGCATCCAGTAAGTCTGTACTTTCACAATTTTGTCTGCTACAAAATGTCATTTTTCCTCCCTGAATTACATCAAATACCATGTGCAACATGTGCACCACACTGCACAGTTTGCAACAAAGCCAACAGCAGTATTGTGTGTGTGTGTGTGTGTGTGTGTGTGTGCGTGTGCGTGCGTGCGTGCGTGGGTGTGTTGGGTGTTCTTTTGGGATTTTTTAATGCATTTTGCACACAAACCTTTCCTTCATATTTTAAAGTTACCAGTCTTTATATGATACACATTAATTGTACAGTATGTGATTCTATTACTTTTGTGTGGTTTTCATTGTATTTGTGGCTACTAATAAAGTCTTAAGTCTGATCAAGTCTTCTTTTATGGATTTTATTACTTTCTGGATTTGTTTTGTGAGGCAGAAATTACTGCACTTTTACATGACGCACTCATCTACACTTTAGATGAAGTTCAAATGTGGTTAACGTTGAAACTACACATGATTTATAAGTGATTACTAGTACACATGATTAGACATGAAAAGAACACACCCACCAAAATTAATCTTTAAAATAATGAAATGTGCCTTGTAGCCAGTTTAATAACAGCATGCTCTGTTGTAACCCGTTTGTTTAGGTCGGCCATGACTGCATGGAAAATTTAAAAAACATGGCTACATCGACAGGTAACTTTTTAAATGTATTTTTTTTATTTTGCGGCAGTGAAACATTTCTTTTGATTAGGTGTGCATCACTTGCACATCACAGCACACCATTTCTTCTGCTTTTACACAACATTAAATAACACTGATCTCTGTAAAAGTGTATGATTCACTGAGATCATCAGCCTAACTTATTTCCCTCTCCTGTCCAGAATGGACTCCTTCTTTGTGGTATGACACCTTCAATGAACTGCTGGATGATGACAGTGAGCTGGACTATGGAGACCGGTGGACTCTTAAGGTTAACTACAACAAGACAGATGAAATCACTTATGAGGAGAGGAGGAAAGGCTGGAAGATCTCCACTCACCAAGCAAACGGAAAGTATGTTAACTTATAAACAATAAAAACTTAAACATATGTAAAGTAATAGTTACTGAAAATGTGAAACAACAGCAAGACAACATAAAAATATAAAAAATATATAAATTCATAGCAACAGCATAGCAAAACCAGAAGAAAAAAAGGAGGCAACATGTTTCAGACTGTGGGTGTAGTTGTAGTTTTCCATCTCCACCTTCTCTCTGATCACATGAGTGTGCAGGTTCTCTGACAAATGACCGTGTGACTGGGACGAGGTTGTACACAGAATCAAAACAATGTCATTCTGTGATTAAAAAACTGGTTCTGCTGCTACATGTAATTTCTTTATGGTGACTCAGAGAACCACACAATACTGTTTGAGCCACAGACTCATAGGGAGGCTCAGTTACTACATGTGGAAAAAGCAAGCTATAAATGTAAGTACATAAAAATAAATGTGTACCTCACAGCATGTAATCATTTCTCCACAGATTTCAGTGTGTATCCTGCAAAAAGACCTGGGATTCAGCGCAGGTGAGGTTGGTGTTCCGGTACCGGCTGCTGGGGGGCCAAGGGACAGTGATTATGCGTCCTTTTGGTCAGGCCTGTGTTCGCTGTAGAGGTGACAAGTTCAATCTCCCCGGTTTTGACAAGAAAGAGGTGGAACAAGCCCTCCTCAGGCAGTTTTACAAAATTCGGAAAAACTGCTACCACGAAGAGGATGAGGAGAAGGCTGAAGACAATGGAAGACCATCATCAGAGTCTGAAGCAAAGACCAAACCCCACAAGAACCACCTGTGCCAGGCATGCCATGTGGGCCATTGCTGTCTGGATGACAAGGATGATAACTAGAGTGTGTGTGTGTGTGTGTGTGTGTGTGTGTGTGTGTGTGTGTGTGTGTGTGTGTGTGTGTGCTAAAAGTGCTCAGAGAAACTCTTTTCTTGTTTACTGGTTCCTGGGATATTCTATCTGTTTTGCACATGAAGTTAACAGTTTTAAGACTACAATCCACATTCATGGTGCAGTATATGATCATATCACTTTTGTGTGCGTTCATTGTATTTTGTGGCTATTACTAAAGTCTGATCAAGTCTTGTTTATGGTGTTTGGTTTTTTATGGATTTGTTTTGTGTGGCAGACGTGCTAGAAATTGCTGTACTTCGCATTCATCTATAGATCAGATCTTTTTTCCACCCCATTTATTTGATAGTCATACCAGATACAAGTAAAAACATGAAACCAGAAATGCTGGTATTATACTAAAACGTACATGCCATGGAAGTAACAATGGTCAGTTTTAGCTGTCAGGGAAGCTTATGAATGCTCCCAAATTCTAACAGCATAGCAAACCAAGGTGCAGCTGGAGTCATACTAAACTGCAGGCTATAGAGTCAGTCTTGGAAATTCTCTCAGATAAAGTAACTGCATGCAAAGTACCTCTAAAACGTGTGCAACAGTGTACCTACACGTTTAAACAAGGAGTAACTGCATCAGACAGTATTTGATCTAGTTTTTTTCTGCTTTACATGAATGTAACATGGTGTTGGTTTGAGGCCTGTCACATCTGAATGCTTTATAAGAATAAAGGGAAGCTACAGTTTATCTTGATCATCTTGTGTGACACTTGTTTATTTCCTGTTGCTTTTAAAAAGACTGTTAATACTTTTATTTCTCGCTACTAAACATCTTTGGGTTTCAGCAGGGATGCATGCAGTTCAGCGCATAATCGGGTTCTTTTACGACTCCTAGGTGTTGACTATTGTAAAAAAGAAAAAGAAAAAAAAAGAAAAAAAGAGAAATTAAATAAAACAAAAAACACAAGCTGTTCCTTCTCATCGCTGGTAGCTGTGGGTAAATATATTCTGATATAATATCGATACAACACTGATATCGAATCGATAAGGTGATAGGATTGATACTTTAGTTTGTTTCCCTTCTTTAGTTTCAGTACATTGCTCCCATTCATCAGAGGAGACCCCTCTCCTCTCGTGCAGGCGCACTCTACTCCCTACTGTTGTTGTTGCCCTGCGGTCACTCAGCGGCACTGAGCAGAGCAATAGTGACGCGTTGAGCTGGTTTACAGCTGTAGATTAAAACACTGCAAACAATAATGGGTGTTGGAAGGAAATTCTCTACCGTGGCAAAAACACCAACTTATATAAAGATATGAAAGAGCACGAAAAAGAGACTTTTCACCCGGAACAAGCAGCAAAAATAAATGCAGAGAGGAGGAAGGAAATCCCCCAGACATGGCCCAGACTCTCGGCACAGAGACAGAGCCCACTGTCACAGCCCTTTCATAGACTCAAGAAATAACCTGTAGCTCATATAGTATGAAAGTCAAAGTTGTGATTTAGAGATCATTAAAATGTGTTCAGAATTTGGAAAACCGCTGATGATTCATCTCATAGATCACGATCACACTGCTCTCCCTAACATAAGCCTTTATAAGTTTGGTATCTGCAATACTGGCCGTGTATTTAGTTGGTATGAGTTCAGTACCAAGATGTGCACTGTCGCACACTAGCACCACAAGTCGCTAGACTGAACGTGAATTGTAAGTTTCGTTTTCCACACGTCACGCATAAATAAACAGAGGCTGTCTGCAGAGCAGCATTCACAAGTCAAACTCTGTCTCATGTCAACGTTTCATTTCGTCTCCCAGAAGGTCTCCAAATATCAGACCTTATGTATCAGACCATCGAGATATACAGGTAACACACCAGCCTATTTGTTTCTTTTAAACGCGTAGGTCCTATATGGCTGATTGATTTGTAATTAATGCATTGCATATTTGTTTTGATCAAGTACTTAAAGCGTTTAAAAGCGTTTCCTGTGTTCTTGTAATGACAAATAAAAGAGTGTTTTGCCTATAGCATAAGCCTAACGTCCTTCCCTCTCCTCTTTGTCCAGCTTGGGCTCCTTCCTTGTGGACACACATCTTTGAGGAGCTCTTCTGTGGGGATAATGCGCTGGACTATGGAGAGCCATGGTCGCTCACCTTCAGCTACAAACAGACAGACAAATTATCCAAGAAGGAAAATAAGAGAGGTTGGAAGGTCTTCTCCCACTGCGCTTATGGAAAGTATGTTTAATTTAATAAAATCATATTTACCTTACACTGTATGTAATAATAATAATAGTAGAAACTATGCTGGAAAGAAAAAGGCATCAATCATTTTTCAGGTAGTGGGTATAAATAGAAAGATTGTCTTGTGCTTTTTCCGTCTCCACCTTATTCATGTTCACGGGAGCAGGTGGGTCACCTGTCGAGGTTATTGTGTGACAGGGAGCAGCAGTGGACGGTATTAAAACAATGCTATTCTGTGGGAAAAACAGGTTCTGCAATTTAGTTACAGCGGTAATTGAACAGTATATATGTCTGCATGTGTACCTACATTGCATGCTCAAAAACACAGAGTGGTTACATCAAACAGTACTTTGATCTAGTTTTTTTCTTGTTAGTTGCACTTTGTGTTACAATCTATGCATATAATTCTATATTGTATCACACTGAAGTTATGATGTTTATGGAGAGGTTTTATTAAACAAGCAAATAAATACGTTTCGCCTGGTTCATTTCCCAAATTGCAACTGTGGTTATCACATCCCACCAAAATCTGTGGGGGAATCTTTGATATTCATTTTGTAACTAAATA